CTCTTTGGGCTGTGCCCTATGAATTTTCCAGAGATCACTTCACAGGAAAGGTTATTTAAAAATTTGCTGGGTTCTGCCTATTTGGTGATAATTGTACTGTCCATATCACCTCCTACCATCTGGCAAAATAGAAAGAATAAATGAAATGTTAAAAAAAAATAGCAAAACTTTCAGTCACTAAACTTCCCATGGCCAAAAGTTCTCCCTCTGACAATCATGACTATTCAATCAATATCATCAAGGAAGCATTGGCTACCACCTTATAAAACTGTAATAGGAGGCCCCATGCATTTAAGATCTATACCTTATACAGACCCTGCCCTTACACAAAGACTGACATGATTCTATACTGCCAAGGTCTAGCAGATTATTCCCAAACTTATTCTCAACAGGTAAAAGTAGCCCTCCAGGACACTATTCTGAGAAAAGACACATTACTCATAACTTAGAACCATGACACCTGGTAACTCTAGAAGATGTTGAAGAAAATCAGCCCTCCAACCACTCTGGACAGGATTCATTCCAGATCCTAGTTGACCACACAAATGAAAGCCACATTAAAAGGAATAGACCCCTGGGTAAATATCTCCCAGTTAAAGAAGGCCCCCTCCCACGTACAGTCCTGTAAACCAATATCTGACTTAAAACTCAAATTTACTTGAGACCTCTGTACCGTAGAAATAGATGACATCACAAAAGTACTCAACTGCCAACCAAAACTCCAGAACAAGTCTCCCTTAGATTTCATTTCCTCTTGCCTTGCTTGACCTTGTTAGCAATGTTACTGATTAAGGTGTTATCTTTATTCCATGTGCTTCTTCAGAACATTTCAGTCTCATCTCTGGTAAGGTGGAAACCATTAAGAACATCAGGTTGGTTAGACAGGGATTTCAGCAATGTGGGAAATTTTTTCTTTCCAATCGCTATCTCATGATTTAAAGCTTGCTTTATGATTTCTTAATATTAATTGCCTTTCCATAAACGTGTACTATGACTGCTAGAAAGACCTATTTTTGTATAATCCTCACAACTGGACCAATAAGCAGCATACTGTTAAGTGGAGAAAGTATTGAAATTGTCAAGGATTTCATGTTACTTATATCCACAATCAATACACATGGAAGCAACAGTCAAGAAATCAAATGACATATTGCACTGGGCAAATCTGCTACAAAAGACCTCTTTAAAGTGTTTAAAAGCAAAAATGTCACCTTGAGAACTAAGGTACGCCTGACCCAAGCCATAGTATTTTTAATCGCCTCATATGCATGTAAAAGCTGGACAATGAATACGGAAGACTGAAGAAGAATCGATGACTTTGAATTATGGTGTGGGTGAAGAATATCGAATATACCGTGGACTGCCAGAAGAACAAACAAATCTGTCTTGGAAGAAGTACAGCCAGAATGCTCCTTAGAAATAAGGATGGTAAAAAGAAGATATTCAGGCGGCTAACAGACACTTGAAGAAATGCTCACAATCATTAGCCATTAGAGAAATGCAGATCAAAACTACAATGAGATATCATCTTACCCCAACACGGCTAGCATTACTCCAAAAAATACAAAATAATAAATGCTGGAGAGGTTGTGGAGAGACTGGAACACTTATACACTGCTGGAGGGAATGTAAAATGGTACAACCACTTTGGAAATTGATTTGGTGCTTCCTTAAAAAGCTAGGAATAGAAGTACCATACGATCCAGCTATCCCACTCCTTGGAATATATCCTAGAGAAATAAGAGCTGTCACACAAATAGGTATATGCACATCCATGTTCATTGCAGCACTGTTCACAATAGCAAAAAGATGGAAACAACCTAGGTGCCCATCAATGGATGAATGTATAAACAAATTATGATATATCCACACAGTAGAATACTATGCAACAATAAAGAACAACAATGAATCCGTGAAACATCTAATAACATGGAGGAAGGTGGAACTCATTACGCTGAGTGAATTTAGTCAGTCACAGAAGGACAAATATTGTATAAGGACACTATTATAAGAACTCAAGAAAAGGTTTAAACACAGAAGAAAACATTCTTTGATGGTTACAAGGGTGGGGAGGAAGGGTGAGCGTTATTTACTAACTAGATAGTAGATAAGAATTGTCTTAGGTGAAGGGAAGGACAGCACACACTACAGGGGAAGTCAGCACAACTGGACTAAACCAAAGCTAAGAAGTTTCCTGAATACAATCAAATACTTTGAGGGACAGAGTAGCAGGGGTAGGGGTCTGGGGACCATGCTTTCAGGGGACATTTAAGTCAATTGGCATAACAAAGCTTATTAAGAAAATGTTCTGCATCCTACTTTAGTGAGTGGCGTCTGGGGTCTTAAAAGCTTGCAAAAGGCTATCTAAGATGTATCAATTGGTCTCAACCACCTGGAGTAAAGGAGAATGAAGAACACCAAAGATGCAAGGAAAAGTATTAGCCCAAGAGACAGAAAGGGCCACATAAACCAGAGACTTCATCAGCCTGAGACCAGAAGAACTAGATGGTGCCCGGCTACCACCAATGATCACCCTGACAGGGAACACAACAGAGAGTCCCTGGTGGAGCAGGAGAAAGGTGGGGTGCAGAACTAAAATTCTAGTAAAAAGACCAGACTTAATGGTCTGACTGAGACTGGAGGAACCCCGGAAAGTATGGCCCCCGGATTCTCTATCAGCCCAGAACTAAAACAATTTACAAGGCCAACTCTTCAGACAAAGATTGACTGGACTGTGGGACATAAAATGATACTCGTGAAGAGTATGCTTCTTAGCTCAAGCAGATACGTGAGACTAAATAGGCAGCTTCTGTCCGGAGGTGAGATGAGAAGGCAGAGAGGGTTAGGAGCTGGTTGAATGGACATGGGAAATAAGGGGTGGACAGGAGGAGTGTGTTGTCATAGTATAGGGAGAGCAATTAGGGTCACATAACAATGTGTGTATAAAGTTTTATGTAAGAGACTAACTTAAAACATAAACTTTCACTTAAACTACAACAATAAAAAAAAAAAAAAAAGGAATGAGGATGGTGAGACTTTTTCTCACATACTTTGGACATGTTATCAGTAGGGGCCAGTCCCTGGAGAAGGACATCATGCTTGGTAAAGCAGAGGGTCAGTGAAAAAAAGGAAGACCCTCAATGAGATAGACTGACACAGTAGCTGCAACAATGGGCTCAAACATAGCAACAATTGTGAGGACTGTGCAGGACTGGGCAGTGTTTGTTTCTGCTTTAGTGTTTGGTGAATTCAGTGTTTGGTTCTGTGTTTGGTTCACTATGATTCACAACTGACTCGATGGCAACTAACAACAACAACAACATTCTTGTATAACAGATATTTTCACCAAAAACATGTGAACATATTGTTTGCCCTAACATTGCCCAATGGTAGACTACTATCTATTTTAGTTTATCAACCCCTCTGCCAAGGAACCTAAAACAAATTTCCAGGGACAAGGCCAGTGTACTCTCACATGGTATCGTTCATTCATCCAATTATTTATTGAGCAATTACTCTGTGCCAAGTACTATGTCAGATGCTGAAAATACAATATTGAGTGAAACAAAGTGCTTTCCTACTTGGAATTTATATTCTAATAAATTTGTGTCATT